GGGGCGGGGCAGGTCAAAGTAATTGGCTTACACTTCGCTAGTGAAAAAGCCATGATACCAGTGTGCAGGACTTTCACCCTTCAGACTCCATGTTCTCACCAGCATCTAAGGAGGCCAAACACTTCCCAAGTTTACATACCTAGTCAGCTGCAGAGCCAGAGGAAAAAAACAGCTAAACCTCTAATCTTACAAGTATTTGGAAAAGTTATTACTAAAATTTCCACAAAGACCAGGCTGAACAGTTCCCTATCTAACTCATCTGTTCCAGACATATCAATATTCCTAAAACAGAAGCCCATCATGTCTTCCTCCCTGTTCAATTCTTTGTCCCAGACTTGTGGTTCCCTGGTGCTCACTGGCCAGCGAGCTTAGTCTACTTTGCAAGTTCCAGTCTAGTTAGATATCCTATTTCAAAAAACAAGGTGGATGGGCCCTAAGAAATGACATCAGCTGTCCTGTCTTCCACAGGCATGTACGCACGAACACACACACCCCAGTTCCATTCTGTTCACACGACTTACCCCATTTTCAGTGCGCTTTTCTCCAGGAACATTTATTACATTTCTCTGAGTTCTCTGCTCTTGGGTCTGATGGCCACCTAAAGAAATGATAGGGTCAAATTTAATGTGATAACTACTTTTCATTTTTAACTTAAGGGGAGTCACCATGGAAACACAGCTGGGTTTGTCTATGAGGGAGTTTCCAGAAAGGTTTAACTGAGGAGGGAACTCCCACCCTGAATATGGGTGGTGCCCTGCCCTGGGCTGGGTCATGGGTTAAATAAGAAGGGAGCTGAGCAAGGGCTCATCTTTCTCTGTTCCTAAGTGTGGCCAGCTGCTGCATACTCTTGCTATCACAGGCAGAGCTGGCCTGGAACTCACTAGGTAGACCAGGCTGGCCATGAACTCAGAGAGATCCACCTGCCTCTGCCCGGGATTAAAGGCGTGTGCCACCATGCCCAGCTGCAGTTAATCTTTCACATATGTTGTTTCTTATAGTTCAAGGCTGGCCTTGAACTCATAAGATGCTTCTTATAGTTTAATGAAATCTTTTCTTTTTCTACTTTAGACTCATGAAATTGACTTGCTATCAAGTCTTTCAACACTTAAGAATGGCAAAGATGAGACTGGGCACAGTGGCACAGCCTTTTGTCCCAACACTTGGGAGCCGGAGGCAGAGGCAGGCGGATGTAAAGGTGTGCACCACCACGGCTGCCTTCTTTTTTTGTTTTTTTAAAGATGAAAGTCTCAATATCCCAGACTGTCCTCCAACTCACTATGTAGCTTGAGCGGGTCTCAAACTCATGATCCTCCTGCTTCAGCCTCCCAAATGTTTTGTTACAAGTGTGTACCATCATACTTGGCCAGTCCATTTAATATTCAATTGCTACCTTTTCCAATTACTATAAACACCACATTGAAATTATACTAAGTGCCACTTAATCTTTAATGGCAAAGAAGAAATCTGATGATCCTGCATTTCCGAGTCAGAAAATAATGAACAAACATTTAATGAGCAATGCTTCTAAGGACTTGATAGTAAATCTCTTTAACTCTCAGCCCATCTCCCTGAGGCACTCTGCAGACACAGGAAGTGAACTCACCTGCCAACAGTCTATACCAAGTGAAGAACAGGTTTACAACTGAGCACGCATGGCCTTGCTCGTAATCACCCCACACTTCCCAGGTTCTGGTTTACACTGTGCACTTAGCTTTGTGGAGATCGTTCAGTGCTCTAGACCTCTGCTTCCTAAGTGTAAAGGGGGTTGAAGTCACTGTCCTCCAAGAGCCCCTTGAGCTCCTGGACAGAATTTCCATCCCTCAAGATGAGAGATCACTCTTCTATCTGCATTCAAATGTAATTACCTTTAAATTTTTTAAAACATTTTTTGTATGTGTTTGTGTGTAGGTACACGTTACAATACACATGTGGAAGTCAGGGTAGGAGTGGGTACTTGCAGGAGTTAAGTGCTCCCCTTTCCCCATGGGAGAATGCAAGCTGTCAGGCTAGGCGGAGAGACTTCATCTGCTGAGCCATCTCACTGGCATGTAACCTCCTTCTAATCCTTATCAGTAATAACTGCCTTGTCCTTACCAAGAAGCATGCCTCAGCCAGGTGGTGGCACATGCCTTTGTCAGGCAGAGGCAGGTGAAGCTCTGTGAAATGGAGGCCAGACTCATCTACCTAGTGAGTTTCAGGCTACTAGTTGGGGCTACAAAGACCCTGTTGCAAAAAAAAGAAGGGAGGGGTGAGGAGAAGGGGGGAGCAGCAGCATGTCTTGGGCCCCAAGCTGGTCTAAGAATAAGAACTGGAGGAAACGCAGTAAACAGAGTGGAACAGGGTGAGGCAGGGTCAATGCTCGAGCTATTCTCTCTCCTGGCTGCTGTTCTCCCTGTCAGCTGGCAAGGGCAAATGTGTCAGCATGAGCAGACGAACAAGGCCAAGGTTGAAAACAGTTGAGCTGAGAGAATGGAATTCTCAGTAAGTACCCAAGAGAAAGAATGAGCAAGACAGAGTATGGCTGGAGGAGAGAGCAGGAAGCGGAGTGTGAGGAGCTATGTAGGTCGCACTCTTAAGTGCAGCTAAGAAAGGGCAGGCACAGGCATTTAGGAGCAGAGGCACAGAGTCACAATAACCCCTCAGTACTAGAACATGCCAACTGTCAGCAAGTCTAATTCTCCTTCTCAGGGATGTTCCCAGAGAGAAGGGCCCTGCCCAAGGTCAACGAGACACAGCCCTTGGAGTCCTGGCTCTAGACAGCCAGAGGTAGCAGAGCAAACCCAGATGCACTGCGGCACTGCAAAGACAGCACCATAACAGTATCACAGTATCTTCAGCCATAGAAAGAGGGTTTTAAATTACGTGTCAACTCAGCTGATATGAGCAGTTCCCTTTAACATACAGCAAGAACAAAGAGCAGGGCTGGAGAGACTGTGCTGGGGTTGAGAGCACTGGCTGCTCTTGCAGAGGACCCAGGTTCAATTCCCAGCACCCATGGTGTGGCTAACAACCGTCCAAAATTCCAGTTCCAGGGGCTCCAACACCCTCTTCTGGGCTCATCAGGCATTACACACACAGGCACATGTATGTACATGCAGGCAAAACTCTCACATAAAATGATAAAAGGCAATAGCTTGCAATAAAGAAATATTTTCTTTTTGTTTTTTTGTGGCATTTTGTGGGTTTTGTTGTTCAAGTCACATAACTCTAAAATATTTATACAACAGGAGAAAAAATTTCCTTAAAGTTTATCTTAAAAATAGGTGTATATTCCCATGGTTCAAACTTTAAAAGAAACTAAAAGGTCCTCAATTACAGGCCTTTCTCTCTTGTCCTGTGGCTTCCCGTTCTCTTCTGCCCAGGCCAACATTACCAGCTTCTGGCATATCCTTCCCAAGCTGCTTTATGAATATACCAGCATGCATGTGCAGTCATTCTTGACTGGGTCATACAAAAGTCAGCATGGTATGCACACTGGTGGGCATTAGGCTCCCTTCACTGAACATATCTGAGAAAGGCTCAACATCAGGGCATAGGGTTTCTGCCTTATTTAGAGCATTTCACCATGGGGATGTCCTGTAATTTACAGCCCCACTCTGCTAGTGGGCATCTACAGTGCGCCTATCAACAGTGCTGAGTGAGTCGCGCTGTGCATATCTTATTTTGTATAGGCTCAGGAACAGTTTGAGAGTGAACACTCCGCAGGGAGACCATTGGGTGAAAGGCTTAGTGAGTTTTTGTTTTTGTTCTGAGACAGGTCTTCCTGTAGCCCCAGCTGGCCTGGATCTCAGAGATTCACCTGTCTTTGCCTCCCAAGTACTGGGATTAAAGGCGTGCACCACCACACCTATGTTTTCTTTAAATAGGTATTGCCAAACTGCCCTCTACTGAAGTCACCAACATTCTCCACAGGTGTCAAAGCATGTGCTGCTAAATGTGTGACTCCTTGGGCTCACGGTGGGGAAAGCAGTGTCTGGTGCAGCTATCCCGCACTTCTTCTACTAGGATGAGGATGAACATCTTTTCATGGCATAGGACCAAGCAGCTACACCATCTTCATGAGATCAGCTGTGCTCCTTTTGAGAGTCCAGCACAATCAGGCCTGTGGGCTGCTGACACTCCTTCAGAAAAGGAGGGGATTGGGAGAGTCACTGGACCCTAACCTGAATTTCCAGACACTCCTACAAGCCCTTTATATGCAATTTTGCCCTAATTACATGTGGCCTCAGGGTCTTGGGGAGGGGCTAACACAAAGAGGCTGTGGAGGACAGAAAAGAGAGGAAGCCATTATCCATGTCAAACTTTCCAGTGCAGCTGTTTTAGGAACACCCATGCCCCTGCCAGTAACCCTTGATCCACATTCTGTAAATAAACCTAATACATTCATTGGTTCCCCAGGGAAAACTTGGTAGAATCATACTTTGGTTTGTCACTGGGACCTTATGTAGAGGGGGTTGATATTGTTTACATCCCCCTGGGAAAAAAATTCTCACCAAAGACCATGAGTATTTATGTGTTGTTATTGTCCTTGTCTTCTTCTTCTTCTTTCCTTGGTCTTTTTAAAACATTTTATTATTTTTATTTTATGTGCATGTGTGTATTGCCTACGCGTAGGTAAGTGCACCCGTGTCGTGCAATGCCCTCGGAGGTCAGAAGAGACTGTTGGATCCCCTGGAACTGGAGTTACAGTTGTTAGCTGCCATGTAGGTGCTGAGATTCGAACCTGGGTCTTCTACAAGAACAGCCAGTGTTCTTAACTGCTGAGCCATCTCTCCAACCCCTGTTTTTTTGTTTTGTTTTGTTTTTTGGTTTTTTTGAGGCAGGGTCTCCCTGTAGCCCCAGCTGTCCTGGAACTAGCTTTGGAGACCAGGCTGGCCTTGAACTCACAGAGATCCGCCTGCCCTGCCTCCCGAGTGCTAGGATTAAAGGTGTGCGCCATCATGCCTGGCTACCAGCCCCCTTTTTAAATATTTTTTTAAAATAATTTATTTTATGTGTATGAGTGTATTGCCTGCATGTAGGTAAGTGCACCCGAGTCATGCAATGCCCATGGAGAACAGAAGAGACTGTCGGATCCCCTGGAACTGGAGTTAAGTACGGACAGTTGTTAGGTGCCATGTTGGTTCTGGGATTCAAACCTGGGTCTTCTGTAGGAACAGTGTTCTTAACTGCTGTACTCTCTCTCCAGCCCCACCCCGCCTTTTCTTTTAAAATATAACAACAGAAAACAAACAAAAAAGAAAAAAAGCAACAAAACGGAAGGCCGTCACCTGCATGGCCTTGACAGCCCTCTGGCCACTTAAACTATATCCCTTCCCCCAGGCTTGCACGTTACAGGTTTGGGGTTTTTTTCTTCTCTCTTTTTGAGACCGGTTCCCTGCAGCCCCAAGCTGGTCTGGAACTCGCTCTATAACCAGGCTGGCCCTGATCTTACAGAGATCCTGCCTGCCTCTTCCTTCCCAGTGCTGGGATCAAAGGCATGTGCCACCATACCCAGCTCACTTTTTATGTTTTTGATGTTTTTTTCAGACAAGGTCTTGGTTGGTATGTGTAACCCAGGCTGGCCTGCTCTGAACCCTCCTACTTCTGCCTCCTGAATACTGCGGTTTTTAGCGGTTTTTGGTATATGCTACCATCCCTGGCTCCTTTTTTTGGTCTTTTTGAGACAGGGTCTCCCTGTAGCCCCAGCTGTCCTAAAACTCACTATGTAGACCAGGCTGGCCTTGAACTCACAGAGATCAGCCTGCCTCTGCCAACCAAGTGCTGGGACTACAGGCGTGCACCACCACGCCTGGCTTGTCCTCATTTTTCTACCACGCTTTTTTCTTACTACTTTCTAGTTCTTATGTGGAAAGGAACATCCTCTTCAATGGGAGCTGTCCACACCATGTCTTAGTTTCTACCAGTCTACAATGCTTATGGCCACTCAGTCTTCCTTGGTTTTGTTCTAAAAAGCACACTCATCAATCTTGTCTTCTATGGCATAATGCTACATTTAGAATAGCGCATTACAGTCTAAAATTAGAAATATTTCTTGTAACTTTTTATCATTTCATGGCTTTAAAATCTAGGTATCTGGCCTATGTGGTATTTATCAAAAACAATCCCTTTACACATTGTATGTTTATGCATTACATGTTTGAGTGCATGATCTGACCCACTTGGTGTCCTGAAAGGAGGTGAAGGCTGGTGCCTACAGGCTGCAGCATGCTCTACCTGCAGGAGCAGAGGTCAAAGGACAGGCAATACCCTCTTCCCTCTCAACACTTCTGAGTGAAGGAGAAAAATGCGTGGATATTTTCTAAAATTTCCTAAAACTGACTTCTGTGACACTTGCCTACCTTGCTCACTGCTTTCGGCTGGGGAATCCTCGTGTCGAAGGAAAAATTTCACTTCTTCCCTGCGGGTCCCCCACTTCTGCAGGTGCTCGTACATCATGTGGTCATAGGGGATGGGACGCTCTAGGAAAGAGACCACATCTTACTCCAAAAGCAAGGATAATGACTCCAGTCAAAGGTCAAAGAAACAGACACAGACACACACAGGAGTTCTTAGGAGAATTCAAGAACATTCCAACCACCACATTCTGACTTTAATGAAGGAAAGTAGGAGTATAAATGGGAAACAAAAAATAATGAGGCAACATAAAAAATACACATAAAAGTGATCATGTAGCATTAAAGAGGGAACAATGGAAGCATGTCTTTAGAGATACTAACTTATCACAAACAGCATACCCCACATTCTGAAAAGAAATGAAACAAACTGGTCACACCATGTTAATCACTGAAACATCACACCTAGCATTAGGTGTGCAAAGGTCAACCATAGCACTTCCTGGCAATTCCAACATTATTGTGAAGTTGACCAGCACTTGTAGAGACCAAAGTTTACCAAGTTAATAATTCAAATTAAATTCTATGGTATTAAATGTATTTCAAATACATTTTTTAGGCAAATCTCAACAGAATTATCTCTTTAGCGATGACCTGAGACAAACCTTAACAAGGCAGTTATTATTATTATTATTTTTTGGTCTTTTTGAGACAGGGTCTCTCTGTAGCCCCAACCGGCCTGGAACTCACTGTGTAGACTGGGCTGGCCTTGAACTCATAGACATCCTCCTGCCTCTGCCTCCTGAGTTCTGGGATTAAAGGCATGCGCCACCATGCCTGACCTTATTTTTTCGGTCTTTATGAGACAGGGTCTCCCTCTAGCCTCAGCTGGCCCAGAGGTCACTATGTAGACCAGGTTGACCTTGAACTCACAGAGATCCACCTGCCTCTGCTGGGACTAAAGGTGTGTGCCACCTCTGCAGGGACTAAAGGTGTACGCCACCTCTGTCTCTGCTGGGACTAAAGGTGTGCACCACACCAGTCCCACGTTGTTGTTTCTTTTAAACAGGGCCTCACTTTATAGCCCTGGCTAGCCTAGAACTCACTGTGTGTCCCTGGATGGTCTTGACCTTGTGTCAATCCTTCTGCCTCTGTCCTCCCTCCACTCTCACCCCCACCCTGGGAATACAGGTATGTGCCATCAAGCCTAGCTCTGAAGGAATTCAATATTCTGGTCACTAATTCTAGGTTGTTTACATGTATTGCCAATACACTTGGGAGTTTGGTTCCCAACATGCATGTCAGGCAGCTCACAACAACGTCCCATTCCAGCTCCTGGGATCTAACACCCTCTTCTGGCTTCTGTAGGCACTGAACTTATATGCCCAAACCCACACATAGACACATACATACACATGACTAAAAATAAAATCTTTTGGGCTGGAGAGACAGCTCATCGGTTAAGAGCACTGGATGCTCTTGCAGAGGACCCGGGTTCGATTCCCAGCACCACAGGTCAGCTAACAACCATCTGTAACTCCAGTTCCAGCGGCTCTGACACCCTCTTCTGACCTTCACAGGCACTGCATGACATGGATGCACATGCATGAATGCAATACACTCATACCCATAAAATAAAAGTATTTTTAACATGATAAAAATAAAATCTTTTAAAAGATACAAATATAAGCAGCTACAAGTCTTTTCCAATTTTAGTTCAAAGTTTTTTGTTTTCTTTTTTAAAAAAAAGATTTATTTTATGTGTTTAAGTGTTTTACCTGCATGGATATAAGTATACCACATATATGCAATGCCAGTAGAGGCCAGGAAGAGGGTGTTGGATCCCCTGGAGCTGGAGTTAGAGGCAGTTGAGTGCTGGGATCTGAATCTAGAACCTCTGCAAGAACAGCAAGCACTCTTAACCACTGGGCCATCTCTCTGCCCATTTTCTTTTTTTGAAACAGGATCTCCTTATGTTGCCCTCACTGGTCTTAAACCCCTGGACTCAGAAGATATTCCTGCCTCAGCCTGAGTTGCTGGGGTATGTATGTAAGAGCATCACGTGTCATGCAATGCCCGAGGAGACCAGAAGGGTGTCAGATCCTCTGGAACTAGAGTTAACAGATGGTTGTTAGCCACCATGTGTGTGCTGGGAACCAAACCTGGGTCCTCCTCTCTTCTTCTATGTATGTGGTCCAAGGCTAGTCTTTTCATGGTGTTCCAGAGTTCTTCCATGTTCTGGTTCATATATTAATACATGTCTCTTTGAGACAGGGTCTCCCTGCAGCCCCAGCTGGCTTGGAACTCATTATGTTGACGAGGCTGGTCTTGAACTCAGCCTCTGCCTCCCATCTTGGATTAAAGGCATGTGCCACTGCACCCAGCTCCTGGTCCATATTTTTTTTAAAACATACTGCTGACCTTTACTAGGTGACTGACTTCCTTTTCCAATCCTGTTCTCTACACGATCCATTCTGCTGATGAAGCTTTCCACCTGAATGTTTATTTGGCTTACTTTTCCATCTCCAGCATTATTTTAGTTTTTTTTTCCTTCAGCAATTCTATTTCTTTGTTGAATTCTATTTTCATATCTTGGATTAAATTCCTTATCTCATCCATCTCTTTGTGTTTCTGTGCTTGGACTTGTGTACGTGATGCTAGTCTGTTAAGTTTTTCTTTCTTTTCTACTTTTTTTTTTAAATTTTTAAAAATGATTTATTTAATAACAACATACTTAGAAGAAGCATATCATTACAACACAGTTGACATATTCAATAACGTTTTCCTCTTTTCTACTTTTTAAAAACTCAAATGACCCTTTTTTCTTTCAGTGATGGTGCTTGCAGTGTTCAGTGGTGGACTAAGTCACAGTAGAGCTGAGGTGTCATTTTCCTCTGTGGGACTTTTATTTAGTGCCAGAGGCTCTATCTCTAGTCTTCATCTGAGGGTCAGGTATTGTCCTTTGTCAGCTCCTGCCTGGGTCTACAGCTTTCATTGGGAGTTTTGGAACTTTCCACATGCCTGTGTGCCTGACCCAGAGTCAGATCTGGTCCTCACCTTGAGTCTGCAACTTTAGCTAAAGCTACTGCAAAATGTGTAACTTCCCCTATACTTGTGGCCTAAACCAGAGTCACATCTAGTCCTGACCCTGGGCCCATCACTTCTGCTGAAGACTCTGCAAGATGGGCAACTCCCCAAGCACCAACAGACCTTACTCCTGGGTTTGCATCTTCCTACTTGAATAATCAATCATCCTAGGATCATTCAACTATTATTATTGCTGTATAATAACAGAGCAAATCTATTGAGTCAATTCCCCTTGCACAACTCAGTTTCAAAAGTAATCTAGTGCCAGGTATGGTGGTGCTTGCCTTTCATCCCAGAAAGGCAGAGGCAGGCAGATGGAGCTCTGTGAGACTGAGGCCAGCCTGGTCTACAGAGTGAGTTCCAGGCCAGCTGGGGCTACAGGGAGACCCTGTCTCAAAAAAAAAAAAAAAGTAATCTGGCATTTCTTGGCCCTTTGCTCTCATATGTATTTAATCGGTAGTTTCGGACCTTTTTTCAAAAGGCAGGATTTTTGCCTAAAGTGCTACATAGAAATTTATCTCGGGAGGCCTGACATCTTTTTGTACTGAAGAGGACTGTGCATCTCTACCATTTTCACAAGCCTCTGTTCTTCAACAGTCTCACCATAAAGACCTGTGTGCTGCAATTTATTCTTTTGCATGTTAGTTTTGTTGTTTTCTGTCTTTTGGGGGTACTAGGGACTGAACACAGGACCTTATATATTCTAGGAACTCTAGCACTGAGCCCTAGATTTTGTTTCACACACACATTTTTTTTCTATTTTTAAAAGATTTATTTTAGTGTGTGTGCATGTGCATCTATGTATGCAAGGATGGGTGCATTTGGGAACCCTCAGGAGCCAGAAGAGGCATCAGATTCCCTGGTGCCGGTGTTACAGACAGTTGTGAGCAGTCCAACATGGGTGCTGGGAACTGAACCTGGGTCCTCTGTGAGAGCAGCCACTGCTCTTAACTGCTGAGCCATCTCTCTAGCCCCCACATATTATCTCTTTAAAATGCATTATTATGGAATATTAATAATTTTAGACTATTAGAAAGGTGGGCATGGTGGCACATGCTTGTAAATACCATCACTTGGTAGGAAGAGACAAAAGGACTCAAGTTTGAGGACAACCTGAATTACATAGGAAGTTTTAGGCCAGCCTAGATTACCTAGTAAGATCCTGTTTTAAAAAAAATTTTTTAGAATGAAAGAAAAGTTGCCAAGTACAGAGAATTCCTATAGACCCTTTACCTCATTTATTCCTAATGTCCAGTTGTCAAAACTAAGCAATTCACACGAGCAGACCACTGTTAATTAAATCTCACACTTGATTTGCATTTCACCAGTTTTCTACCCATGTTCCACTTCTGTCCCAGGACCTCATCCTGCAAAGGACATTGTATTGAAGTGTCTCCCTGGCCTACTCTGACCTGTAATAGTTTCTCAGTTAAGGGGATGGAGAGATGACTCAGCAATTACGAGCACTGGTTGCTCTTGCAGAGGACCTGGGTTCAGTTCCTAGCACCTACATGGTGGCTAACAACCATCTGTGACTCCAGTTCTAGGGGATCCAAAGCCCTCTTCTGACCTCTGTGGGCAAAGCACAGCATGGGGGAACTTAACATGCATGTAGATAATCACTCATACACATAAGATAACAATAATAAATAAAACATTTTAAAAAATAGTTTCTCAGTTTTTAGGAGAGAGTTTTGAGAATGGGTGAGGCATTTTGTAGAATGACCCTAATTTGGATCTGTCTCTCTCTCTCTCTCTCTCTCTCTCACACACACACACACACACACACACACGTGTGCGCGCTTTTGCGGGGGGGGTGTCTTTTTCAAGACAGAGTCTCTTTGTAGCCCCAGCTGACCTGGAACTATGTAGACCAGGCTGGCCTTGAACTCACAGAGACCCTCCTGCCTCTGCCTCCTGGGATTAAAGGCATGTGCCACCATGCCCAGCAGATTTGTCTGATACTTTAATATGTTTTAGGGGGGATGGAGATATACACCCTCTTCTTCTTCTTCCTCTTGGTGTAAGTTTTACTGCAAACTTTTGAAAAGACTCATTTATGGGGCTGGAGAGATGGCTCAGTGGTTAAGAGCACTGACTGCTCTTGCAAAGGACCTGGGTTCAATTCCCAGCACCCACATGGCAGCTACGAATCGTCCTTAACTCCAGTTCCAGGGGAATCTGAAGCCCTCTTCTAACCTCCGCTGGCACTGCATGACATAGATGCGCTCACATACATTCAGGCAATACACTCATACACATTAAAAAAAAAATTAAAAACTTGGAGGAAAAAAAAAAGGTGTGGTGTCACATGCCTGTAATCCTAGGTGGCAGAGGTATGTGGATCTCTGAGTTCAAGAGCTCTTATATAGCAAGTTCCAGGCCTGCTGGGGCTACAGGCATACCCTGTCTCAATAAGACCAAAAAAAGAGAGAAAAGGAAAAAAAAACACTCATAAAATGAAAACCAAGTGAGTGATCTCTCTTTACTTATTTGGCAGAGTTTTTAAAAAATTATTTTTATTTTATATGTTTAAGTGCTTTGCCTGCATATATGTAAGTATACCCCATGCATGTAGTGCCCGTGGAGGGCAGAAGAGGGCATCAGATTCCCTGAAACAAGAGTTACTGACAGTTGTCAGCTGCCACGTGGGTGTTGGGATCCAAACCCAGGTCCTCTGCAAGAGCAGCCAGTGCTTTTAGCTGCTGAGTCATCTCTCCAGCCCCTATTTGCCAGTGTTTATATACAGTAGGGATGATCTGTTCTTTGAAGGTGTGGCAATGAAGTAGGATCGAAAGATGAGGAAAATTACAGGGACATGAGAAAGGAAAGAAGTCCATCACCCAGTCTGCTTAAAGCCCTGTGCCAGCTAAGAAGGAATTCCAGCACAATTCACATTTGCTATGAAGGTTGCTGACACAAGATAATATTCTATCATACACAGGTTTTTTTAAAATGTTAAAATAGCAACAAATTAGGCTTAAGACCTGAATGCATATAACTTTGGGGAGGGATTCATTCCTTCTTGAACATTTTCTGGGAATCTCAAACAAGACTATTAACTTTGAATACGGTAAAGATATTCTATCACCCTGCATCCCTGTGACCTAGAGTTTCACTTTATCAAGTGTAAGCCTGTCAGGCATCCTTCTGGAACTATTCTGTGATCATATTTAGGTTTCTTGCACCCTTTGAAGATAACAGCTTCAAAAGCCACCCACATCCTGTCTGTGACCAGCATGAAGACAAGTGTGGCTCTCTTAGAGAAGCCCACAGCCATGTTCAGGGCATGCCTTTCTTTCTGAGCACTTTCTCTTAACCCTGGTGCTTAAAATCTATACTAAAGCTGGGCATGGTGGCGCACACCTTTAATCCCAACACTTGGGAGGCAGAGGCAGGTGGATCTCTGTGAGTTCGAGGCCAGCCTGGTCTACATAGCGAGTTCCAGGTCAGCTGGGCCTACAGGGAGACCCTGTCTCAAAAAGAACCCCCCGCAAAAAATATTTTATTATTTTTATTTTATGTGTGTAAGTGTATTGCCTGCATGTACGTAAGTGCACCCGTGTTGTGCAATTCCCACAAAGGTCAGAAGAGGCCATCGGATTCCCTGGAACTGGAGTTATGGACAGTTGTTAGCTACTATGTGGGTGCTGGGATTTGAACCTGGGTCTTCTGCAAGAACAGCCAGTGTTCTTAACCGCTGAGCCATCTCTCCAGCCCCGTACTAAAATATCTTTAAGCCAGGCATGATGGCACATGCCTGTAGTCCCAGCACTTGGGAGGCAGAGGCAGGTGGATCTCTGTGAGTTCAAGGCCAGCCTGGTCTATAGAGTGAGTTCCAGGCCAAGCTGGGGCTACAAAGAGACCCTGTTTCAAAAAGACCAAAAAACCAAAATAATAAAATAAAATAAAATATCTAATAAACCCCAGATCAGCTTCACGCAGTGCACCCAGGTCATGCAACGCATGCAGAGTCAAGAAGAGGGTGTCAGTCTGCAAGAGCAGCCAGTGCTTTAACCTCCAAGCATCTCTTCAGTCCCTGCTTTTATTTTCATTACTCAACTCCTTGCTACCACAAATAACTGAGAACCACAGCAGTATTTTTCCATTTATCACTGCTGAGTTATTAGTGGCCTTTGTTAGAGCCTAACATACCACTTCCCCTCCACACTTCAGCCAGGTGGCAACCGCCTTCTCCAGGTTCCTTGCAGAATTCTACAACATCTCGACAGGTGGTTTCTGGTGTTATAGGAACTTCTGTTAAAATCTGCTCATTGTTGCTCAAGAACACGGTTAATATCATCTGTAAGAGAAGGGATTAAAACTACAATTTAGATTCTTCAGCAGAAAAGATGTACTTTGTAAACTTATTTTTCATTAAGTTTTCACATTGGCATACAAAGTACCAGGTTCTTGGCACTGTTTCCATTCGAGTATCATTGTACTTGTTCCAGGTCATCCTGCTCTGTAAATTAAAGTGATCCTTCCAACATCTCCCTCCCCAAAAGCCTACAAGACTTGCTTCTAGAAATGGTTTGGCTGATTCCAAAGTTCACATGAAAAACCAAAAGTAAGACAAGTCAGGAAAATTTTAAAAGAGAAGACTGTGAGAAAAGAACCCAAGCTGCCAGGAGTTATTCAGCCTTAAAAACATACTGCAGGCTGGCAAGTTGGCTCCATGCCACCAAACCTGAAGACCTGAATTCCATCACTAGGATCCACATGGTAGAAGGCAAGAACCAACCAACCCTTGCAAATTGTCTTCTGACTTTCATATACCCACTATGGTACTCACACATAACCACCACCCCCACCCCAAAATAATGTAATTTTTAAAAATCCACTTATGCTGGGTGTGGTGGTGTACGCCTGTAGTCCCAGCACTTGGGAGGCAAAGGCAGGCAGATCTCTGTGAGTTCCAGGCCAGCCTGGTCTACATAGTGAGTTCCAGGACAGCTGGGGCTACAGGGAGACCCTGCTTCAAAAAGACAAAAAAAAAAAAAAAATCCACTTATGCTTGGATAGCGTCAGCTGTCAAATGGACACACCTGGGAAGGGGAGACCTCAATTGGGGAATTTCCTCCATTGGACTGGCCTGGGGGCAGGTCTGAGGCATTTTCTTGATTGTTGAGTGGAGGGCTCAACTCACTGTGGTGGTGCCACCCCTGGGCAGGTGGGCCTGGGTTGTATAAGAAAGCAGGATGAGCACAGGCCAGAGGAACAAGCCAGTAAGCAGCATTCCTCTGGTGTCTGTGCTTCTGTTCCTGCCTCCAGGTTCCTGCCTTGGCTTCCCTCAATGATGGACTGTGAGCTTTAAGACAAATAAACTCTTTCTTCCCCAAGCTGGTTTTGGTCAGAGTGTTTTTATCACAGCAACAGAACAAACTAGGACACCAGAAACAACTTGGGACAAACTGACATCCCACAATGAGACTCATTTCAAAGGGAAAAATGATACAGTGCTTCAAATTTTGAAGCAAAGATTATATAATGAATTATGTTTCCCATACGGAACCATACCACACATCACAAACTGGAAAAAGTTCCTACTAGATCAAATATTTAGACATAAATCATCAAATCACAAAAAACTAGAATAAAATGAAAAAGAAAAAAAAATCTTGAACAAAACCTAAGTAAATTCCTTTTTATAACTTTGGCGTATAGAAGCCTTTTCTACCTAATAATTCCAAAAGTAGTATCATGAAAAGATTGATATATTTCAGTGGTTGCCAGAGCATGCTGGTAGGGCAGTTCTGGAAATGACCTCCGTTCTGTCTCTGGGGAAGGCCCAGTAGCTTCTCTGTAGCAGAGAGGGCGTCTCAGAACAATGCTATAGACATTCTTGAACCCGGACCTTAATGCAAAGTACTGGAGTTTCCAAGACATCAAGACACAAGATATATGCCTTGGAGTCCTAGGAGAATTGTAAATTCAAAAGACCCGGAATGGCCTAATATCACAGCGAAGTTCAGTTTGCAACTGGATGAGTCTGTTGTAGGAGTAAGTGATCAAGCACTTGTGGCAGTGGTGGTCAGTTTCACGTTGACTGCTATCTTCTCTGCACTTTTCAGAAATGGACAGCAGAACATTCATCCAGAAAACCAAGAGCTAATCAGGGTGCTTTGAGAACAACTTCAAACAGAACAGGATGCCCCTGCTCCTGCTCGACAGCAGTTCTATACCAAAATGTACTATCTGATCTGCTTACATCAAGCCTTCTACCCTGTTGAAACAAACTATGGGCATCTTTTTTGTGGTGCCTGCATTATTGCATACTGGTGATATGGGTCATGGCTTGGTACAATCAGTTGTCCAATCTGTAGACAAATGGAAACTCTACTCCTGACAGTATTTGGTGAAGATGATCAATCTTAGGATGCTGTAAGGTTGCGTCAAGATGTTAATGATTATAACCGGAGATTCACAGGACAGCCCAGACTATAGAAAGAATCATGGGTCTGCCCACTTTACTGAGACATGCATTCAGGGAAGTATTTTCAGTCAGGGGTCTTTTCTGGATGTTCCGGATTAGGATAATACTTTGTTCAATTGGAGCTTTTTTCTATTTACTATCACCAATGGATTTTTTTACCTGAAGCCTTGTTTGGAAATCTTTTTGTTGCTTATCTACATCTCCATTATGTATTGAGAGGTGATAACCCAGAGGCTAACCAGATGAAAAGATGAGTTTACTGGAGTATATATCTAATGTATAAAATCAAACAAATTAACCAATGGCAGTGTAAATCATCCAAATACTACAAGCTTAACACAGTTGGTTATCATCTGACAAATGCCTAACAGTATAAAACTGGAATTTCTACATCTTCAGGTTCTAATGTTAAGATCAGATTTACAGTGATCTTCAGTTTTATCTCAATTCTGTGTTGTCTGTAAAGTATCTGGAAAAATAAGAAATCAATTGAAAAGGGACACTTTTGTCACTGTCTGTCCTCCAAGTTACTTAGCTTAATTAGATACATAGTACAGTGTTAAACGGACAGTTGATTCTATTCATCATCCTCAGTGGGTTCCTACACAGTAATGCAGAACTGAAATATTTAAATATTGTTGTTACAGTAAAATATTCTGTGATACTGAAAAAAGGGAAAAGATTGATATATTTTGGCATATTGAATATAAAATCTTTTGCAAAGCAAAAAGACAAATGGGAAAGTATCTGAAACTCATATTACACACAAGTGGCTAATCAACATGTACAGCCCCTAAAAACTCCTAACAAAGAACACCAAAAATTCAATTCATTTTAAAAAATTGGGGGGCTGGAGTGATGGCTCAATGGTTAAAAACACTTGCTGTTCTTCCAAAGGATTGGGGTTTGAGTCCCAGCACCCACAGAGTGGCTAACAACCATCCGTAGCTCCAGTTCCTGGAGACCCGACACCCTCTTCTAGTCTCTGCACACACGTGGTGCACTTACATACACGTAGGCAAAACACTCAAACACGTAAAAGAAAGATAATAAACAAATTGGCCCCCAGAAACAAACTACAACATCATAACATCCAGCTGTCCTAGAACTCACTATGTAGGCCAGACTGGTCTTGAACTCACAGAGATCCGCCTGCCTCTGCCCTCCAAGTGCTGGGACTACAGATGTGCACCACCACGCCCGGCTACATTTTATCTTTTTTAAGGCAGAATCCCACTATGCAGCCCTGACTGGCCTAGAACTCACTATGTAGACCAGACTGGTCTTGAACTCACAGAGATACACCTACCTCTGTCTCCCAAGTGCTGGTAGTAAAGGGGTGTGCCACCACGCCCAGCTTTTGGACACACATTAAACTGAAGATGCAACATTTTGAGCTTAAGCACCCTTACATCAGAGCCAGATTCTGAGTAACAGTGTTGACTTGGTCCTTCCTACCGCTCTTCCTCACACCAACCCACACTTCTGCACTGCTACTGCTACGTCACACTCTCACGTAGAGAAAGTGAAGTTCTTCCCTTGCTTAAAATACTCAGGACTCCTCAGGCAGCCCTCCCCTCCCAAAACACTTTCTCTGCTATACAAACAGGAAACAGGTCTTTTCTTTTTTTAAATTTTTTAAAATTATTTTTATTTTATGTGTACGTGTGTATTGCCTGCATGTAGGTAAGTGCACCCGTGTCGTGCAATGCCCACGGAGGTCAGAAGAGACTGTTGGATCCCCTGGAACTGGAGTTACAGTTGTTAGCTGCCATGTGGGTGCTGGGATTCGAACCTGGGTCTTCTGCAAGAGCAGCCAGTGTTCTTAACCACTGAGCCATCTCTCTAGCCCCGAAACAGGTCTTTTCTACTGGAGTCTAACACTGTGACATTCATGGGAAATCTCTGTTTCCACCCCAGAGAATTTCATGGGGCTTGGATTCTCACAGAATACACTTAGAAAACCTAGACAGCACAGAGATAGGTGTAGCAGTACACAACTGTAATCCCAGCACCAGGGAGGCAGAGGCATGAGGATCTAAGAAAGATCAAGGTAGTTGGGATTATATGGTAAGTTCTAGGCCCACCAGGGCTACACAGTAGACCCTGTCTTCAAAATAAATAGGAAGGAAAGAGAAAAACAACAACAACAAAAAAAAACTAGACAAACTACAGCTACTAGCCTTCTTCCCTGGGCTCCAAGAGCATTTTCTCTCTGGCTACTGTGCTCTGGTTAAGTACCTTTCATTTGCTGGTAAACTATTCACTCTCAAAACCCAGGTCATGGTACCATCTCCACAGAACCTCCCTGTACTTTCTCCTCTCCCCAGAGAGGCTATAGGTTCCTGCCTTAGTGATCTAAACTCTTCCCATCTTTATTAGATCATGTCTTCCTTGCCAAGCAATTAGAAGTAGATTCATGAGCTTTCTGTTGTTGGTACCCAGCACAAGGTATGCACACTAAAATCCAGCCAATGCCACACATTAAGACAGAATCCACCATGCTCTGGAACAGAGGAAATATATCCACAGAATCAAAGCACAACACATCCAATCAGTCTAATAAACAAGTCCCATTCCTTGTTCATAGCCACTACTACTCCTCACTCAGGGCCTTGGGCATGCTAAACACCCACTGTGTCCCTGAGCTACATCCCCAGCCTGCATGGTTCTACTTTACCCCAGATTTTTAGAAAGATTTTAATTATGTGTGTGTGTGTTTATATGGGGTGTGTGTGCATGTTAAGTGTGGGTGCTTGCAATGGCCAGAAGAGGGACTCAGATCTCTGAGAGTTACCAAGGGGCTGTAAGCTATCTGATGTGGGTGCTAGAAACCAAACTCAAGTCCTCTGGAAGAGCAGTAAGTTCTGTTA